GGCTCGTTCCATGACACATTCTGTCCTTAGTGCTCTAACAGAATGAATATTGTTGTTTTTCATGGAACTCTGTTTAAGCTCACATCTGTCTGCATGCATTACAGTGTGAGATGTTGTTATCAGTCACAAGTTGTGTCTGTGATTTTGGTTCTATTGTCATTAATCAGTTCATGACTATTGTTACCAATCAGTTCATTTGATCAATAATCAGTTCATTGTTATTGATCTGTTTATACTGTTCAGCCATGAACCAGTTGGTTCATGCCCCCCCCCTCTTCTTTTCAACATCCTCTTCCCGTTGAAAATTTCCGGGGCGTTCATGTTTTTGTCAGAACGCATAGTTACACAACATGCGTCTGTGCATGGCACATAATTACGCAACGCGTAATTATGCACATGGGGAGCTGAGTGAAAAGACGTTTTTTGGGCAAGCTTCCGCTTCTTACTGTGTTCAAATGGACCCAGTGAGGCGAGGACCACATCCGCTTCGCCCTTAACCCATCAGCGACAGCCTTAAAGGGCGAAGCTATACGACATAGAACATTGGTTACGTACTGTAACCCCAGATTCTATGAGTATAAGCGTAGCCCTTTAAGCGTCGGGCCTCACTGGCTCCTAAATGGCTGAAGAAAAAGCTATTTTGGGAGCCGATTACCCGCTCTTAACGTAATATATACGGACCGGGTGGGGCCCACACAGCAGGTGGGCGTGGACTAAATTTTTTTCAGTGCGATGCTTTGCATGACGGGATAAAACCTACCAGCGACAGCCTTAAAGGGCTACGCTTATACTCATAGAATCTGGGGTTACAGTACGTAACCAACGTTTAGCAGCTTAGTGTGGGCAGTTGTTGACCAGGGGGTTGATCATCAACATATATTCATGTTAGGAGGATGTTCTTTACACACACTCACCTACACACATCATTGTGTCCCCCCCACATTACGGATGCTTCTGACGCCCTTGTGTGTAAATATAAGAGTTTAAGATTTTCAATAGAAATGACCAGCACCGTAGAGATTTATGACAGTCTTTGAAGTAGCCGATACGCGGTCACGTGGTTCATGTAGCTCATCCTGTCAGTCAGTTTGAGCAGCTACTGGTGAGACATCAGGCAAAAAGACTTTTCTTACTTTGGCTGTGACTTTCAGTAATTATTGATCAGTGTAGCATGAAGCTGCACTGCTCGAACTCTGACCCTTGACCCTTATTCATCTTCCAGACTCACCATGAATCGTGTTTTTGAAAGTTACATTTGACTTCAATAAGGTCTGATGTTTTTCCACACGTCCTGTCCTTTGACACAGAGTCAGCTCCAGTCTGTGGTACAGAACTCCCTGTAATGAACAGATTCTACTTCAGTGACTGATCCTGATCGTTAAAGGGTTAATATATTAATGAAGTTGTTGTTGGTCAGTAAACTGACAAGCTGGTACCCCCACTTTAACAAAAGTTAATTAAATAAAATAAATGTAGTGGAGGAAGTGTCACCCTTCTTCCTCCATCTCACATCCTTCATATTGCTACAGCAGTAACAAACTTGTTACTTAACTGATTACTTCACTGACTATGCATTTGATGAGGAGTGGAGGAGCATTTGAGTGGAGGAGTTCAAGTATCTTGGGGTCTTGTTCACGAATGAGGGAAAAATGGAGTGAGAGATCGATAGGCGGATAGGTGCAGCGTCTGCAGTGAAGCAGGCACTGTACAGGTCTGTCGTGGTGAAGAGAGAGCCGAGTCAAAAGGCGAAGCTCTCAATTTACCGGTCGATCTACGTTCCCACCCTCATCTATGGTCACGAGCTTTGGGTTGTGACCGAAAGAATGAAATCTGGGATACAAGCGGCCGAAATGAGTTTTCTCCGCAGGGTGTCTGGGCTCTCCCTTAGAGACAGGGTGAGAAGCTCGATCATCCGGGAGGGACTCAGAGTAGAGCCGCTGCTTCTCCACGTCGAGAGGAGCCAGTTGAGGTGGCTCGGGCATCTGGTTAGGAAGCCTCCTGGACGCCTTCCTGGTGAGGTGTTCCGGACACGTCCCACCGGAAGGAGGCCCAGAGGAAGACCCAGGACACGCTAAAGGGACTATATTTCTCGGCTGGCCTGGGAACGCCTCGGGATTCCCCCGGAAGAGCTGGACCAAGTGGCTGGGGAGAGGGAAGTCTGGGCCTCCCTACTTAGGCTGCTACCCCCGTGACCCGACCCCGGATAAGAGGAAGAAAATGGATGGATGGATGCATTTGATCAAAACATTTTTAGATGCAGCAGAAACATTTATCATTAATTGTAGAACACAGGTTAGACCATATTAGAAAAAAATGTCTAAGCAATACAATGATCAATATAGCCATATCACCAGTGTTTTATAATAAAGTTACACATGTAAAAATACAGCAGTAACAATAAAGTTATTTCTAATGTTCTCTGCAGGATAATGCTCCACCTTGTCCTCCATGCAGCAGTTCAGATCTGCTCCAGCTTACCTTAGAACATCTGGATGAATTCTTCATTTCTGTACAAGATATAATTGTTCTATTGATCGTTTTTTTAATGGCAGCTGAGTACCTGGATGTATAACAGAGCTGATTGTGCTTGTAGCCAGACAACTATTGTAAAATTGTAATGTACTGATTAAAATGTTCATTTTAAATTAAACTGTTTCTAGTTAAAATCATAACAGATGACAAAATAAGTGTTAATTGTGCAAAAGAAATTATCAAACAATTTATTATAAAATATGCAAAATGTAAAACCATGTACTTTTACTACCATTTATACTGTTTATTAATTACATCTGCACCAATAAACTGCATCTGATACAGTTAGCTGTGATAGTTTAATACGTTTCTGCAGTTTATTGATGCTGATATATTCTTGTAATAATTCTTATTTCTTGTTCTGTCTTGAAAGAGTCTCATCTCAACTTGACCCATGATTACCAAACACTAAACTAATAATATAAAACTAATGTAAATGAACAGTCCTGCAGTAAATACCAACTTTGTGAAGGTTATGGTGTTAAAGTAATTTTATTCAAACATCTTGATTCAGCTGTTATTGACTAATAGAAGACAGAAAATGAGATCTTGTTACTTTTGTGATACTTTGAATGCAACATTCAGTTCATGAAGTCATTCTCCTCTGGTTTACCTGGAAAACATGAAAAAATACTCATCTCTACGACCATGTCAATCTCTCAGAAAAAAAGGTTAACTATTTTCTAGTTGAGATAGTTCAGTAACTGGAATTACCATAACAATAAAAAAGTAAAGTATCAACATTTAAAATTTAAGCTGTAATGGATATTTTAAAATGCAGAATTAGACAAATCAACCCGTTTAAACTGTCACAATGGCAAAGAGCTAGCAGCAGTTAAAACACAACTAGCCATTTAACATGTTTAATTAACTAAAACTGGCGACATGAAGTATTAATGTGGATAAATTGTGGTACAGAACAGTCAGATAACGCTTCACAATGGCAAAAAAGTGTCGCATTTGCATCAACTTACCGGAAAAACATGGAGAATGAACTACGTTCAATGCTGAACCTGCTGCTGTTTGGAACTATTTACTGCTGCAGGACCCACGTGACTTCAGCAGTCCATTCCTTCTATGGGAGTGTATAGGACTCTATGGGAGTGTATAGGACTCTATGG